AGTGTGTGTTCATGAGTTGGAACTCAAAAACAGGAAGTCATAGTGGTAACTCTGAAGATCAGATGGACTGTTTGTACTTCAGTTTTTCCTGAATGGTTTAATTAGGCTAATATTTTCTTTTTTGTTTTTTAATTAGGGTAATATTTTAAGCTGGAGATGAGAGAGAGAGAGAGAGAGAAACTGCTTACAAAGAGATTTTAGATAGAACTTATCAACAATGTAATTCTTAAATTTTTAACTTCACACTTTGCTCTTTCATAAAGTATTGTTCACAACAAGTATTAATATCCACACACAGGAAGAAACATGCTTAATAGCATAAAGCTTTTTATATTTTCATTTTAAAGCATGCACACAGAAGGAAATCTGTAGGTTCTTGGTATTTTTGCCTTAGATATAACACTAGCTTTATTATTACCATGCTCAGAAAAAGATCCCTCTTGCAAAAGCAACTTTTATCTGTGAACTTTTATCAAATTACATAATATGGCACCTTTAACATGTTACATGCCCTGTTGATCAGCATTAACCAAAGCTGTCATATTTGTGAAGATGAGCTGTTAAATTAAGTGTCCTTTATACTTACTACCTCACTCCCAAGGTGTAATTTGTTTTAACATACAGATAAATTTAATCTGCCTTGATCACACATATTCAGTATGGTACAAAATTCTCATTTTCTCCCGATTCAAGTTGTTCTATAATAAAATTTTACTCGGTAGGATAACTTGGTAATTATCAATATAAGCAAAAAAAATTTAGTAAAATTAAATTTCTCTGATAGCAAAATTTGTTATATTTTCTTTCCAAAAAAATCATCTTGATAGTTGCTTCATATAACACACACACACATTCACACACAAATTGCTCTTAAAACCAATGCCAATGTAGAAAAAGTGATTAATTAGTGGTAACTGGGAAGGGCTGTAGAGTAGTGTTTATGGAAATACCTTTTGGCTTTATTTCTAGCTTTATGTTGAATTGCATCTCAGGAAAGGAAGCTTCTCTGCACTTGGTTTCCTTGTGATAAAACAGAGTAACATGTATCATAAATATAAACAGGAAGTTTTTGAGCATCAAATGTTCTGATGTAGATTTAAGTTATTTATATTCAGATAAAGTTACTTGGGTTTGAATAAGAAAAAAGAGGCTGTGATATTTAGTTCTCATTTTTTTGCACTTGATCACAAATTTCAGAGGTGGATTTTAGCTTTCAGTAACAGATTACCCAAGTACCAGTGACTTAAATAAGGAGAGATTAGTTTCTAACAGGTGGGGTAAATTTGTTGGTGTTTACTCAGTAACTGAGCAGTGTTAAGCTTACATCTTCATGATTTTCTTGGCATTTGCCTCTTGGTTACTAAATGGCTGCTCTTACCTGCCTGCATTTGAGGCCGAAAAATGGAGAAAGGTCAGGATCCAGCTCAGTTGGACCTTACTCAGTATCAGGAAAGCCCAGGTGTCCCCAGAAACTTCCCCTTGCCAGCAGTTTTTGTCTCAAACTGAGATGTTAACCATTTCTAATTGCGAGGGCTACCATTAAACAAGGGGACAGGGCAGTCACCATTGGCTAAATCTGTATCCATTGCCTTGGCCTGGAGACTGTTCCCTTGAACAAAATTGGTTTGGCTAGCTAGGAAATGGGGAGAGAGAGACAAAGTTTGGGCAACTAAAAGGGTCTGGGACAGATTTTATCTCTTGTTAGATTATTTTCAACAACAAATAACAAAAACCAAAACCAATTGAACGGGGTTGGAAGCAATAGGAAACTATATTATCATGGATTAAGAAGTCCACAGGGAGGTGGCTGCAGAGAGCTCCTTCTGCACCTCACCAGGACCTAGGTTCTCTGTGGGCTTAGCGGTTCCAGCCTCCACATGCCAGACCAGCCTTGGTTAGCTTACTTCACAGCCACAGTGCCGGTGCAGGCATCAAATGCAGATGC